ATGTGGGATCACAGGGATATCACGGGGATGTGGGATCATCAGGGATAGCGGGAATGGGATCACAGGGACATCACGGGGATATTGGGATCACGGGGATATCAGGATCACAGGGATATCACAGGGATATTGGGATCACGGGGACATCACGGGGATATCGGGATCACAGGGATAGCAGGAATAGGGTCACGCACTGCTGGGACTGGAGCGCACGGATATCGGCCGCGGGATATGGGATCAGGGGGATATCACAGGGATATTGGGATCACAGGGATATCACAGGGGTATCGGGATCACAGGGATAGCGGGAATGGGATCACAGGAATAGCGGGATATTGGGATCAGAGGGATAGCGGGAATGGGATTGGGATATTGGGAATGGGATCAGAGCGATATCGCAGGGATATTGCAGGGACATTCCCAGGGATCCCACACTCCCAGGAACGCCCCCATCCCCAGGAATCCCACCACAATGGGAATGGAGATGGGATCCATTGGCATGGGACATGGGATCCGTGGGAATGGGATCCATGGGAATGGGAATGGGATCCATGGGAATGTGATCCATGGCAATGGGACATGGGATCCGTGGGAATGGGATCCATGGCAATGGGAATGGGATCCGTGGGAATGGGAGTCCCACATTCCCAGACACCCCCCATTCCTGGGATCCCCCCTGTTCCTGGGCATTCCCGGGGTGCCTCATTCCCAGGGATCCCCGTTCCAGGGATCCCTGTTCCCAGCATTCCTGGGAGGATGGTGCCGGGCGGGAAGGCGCCCAGGCCCCGCCCGCGGCGCTCCTCGATGCGCTCGTGCAGCGACTGCTCCCCCCCGAACTCCATGGCCAGGCACAGGCTCCCGTCCGCCGCCGCGCCCAGCGCGCGGTACCCTGCACCGCCCCGCGACGGAGCACGGGAATGGGATCACGGGAACGCGGGCATGGGAACGGGGTCACGGGGATGGGGTCATGGGAAGGGGAATGGGATCACGGGAACGCGGGCATGGGAACGGGGTCATGGGAACGGGGTCATGGGAATGGGAACGGGGTCATGGGGATGGGAACGGGGTCATGGGGATGGGAATGGGATCGCCGGAGCACCGGGATCACCGGGGAACGGGAGCATGGGAACGGGGTCATGGGAATGGGAACGGGGTCATGGGAATGGGAACGGGGTCATGGGAATGGGAACGGGGTCATGGGAATGGGAACGGGGTCATGGGAATGGGAACGGGGTCACGGGGATGGGAACGGGGTCACGGGGATGGGAACAGGGTCACGGGGATGGGAACGGGGTCACGGGGATGGGAACGGGGTCACGGGGATGCAAATGGGATCGCCGGAGCACGGGGATGGGAGCACGGGAACGCAGGAATGGGAACACGGGAATGGGAATGGGAGCACGGGAGCACGGGGATGGGAGCACGGGAACGGGAATGGGATCATGGGAATGGGAACGGGGTCAGGGGGATGGGAACAGGGTCGCGGGGATGGGAACAGGGTCGCGGGGATGGGAACAGGGTCGCGGGGATGGGAACAGGGTCGCGGGGATGGGAACAGGGTCGCGGGGATGGGAACAGGGTCGCGGGGATGGGAACAGGGTCGCGGGGATGGGAACAGGGTCGCGGGGATGGGAACAGGGTCGCGGGGATGGGAACAGGGTCGCGGGGATGGGAACAGGGTCGCGGGGATGGGAACAGGGTCGCGGGGATGGGAACAGGGTCGCGGGGATGGGAACAGGGTCGCGGGGATGGGAACAGGGTCGCGGGGATGGGAACAGGGTCGCGGGGATGGGAACAGGGTCGCGGGGATGGGAACAGGGTCGCGGGGATGGGAACAGGGTCGCGGGGATGGGAACAGGGTCACGGGGATGGGAACGGGGTCACGAGAATGGGATCGCAGGAATGGGAATGGGATCATGGGAATGGGAACGGGAGCACGGGAACGGGAATGGGATCATGGGAATGGGATCATGGGAACGGGAACGGGAGCCAGGGAATGGGATCATGGGGATGGGAACGGAATCACGGGGATGGGAGCATGGGAATGGGAATGTGGTCACGGGGATGGGATCATGGGAATGGGAACGGGAATGGGATCACGGGAGCACGGGAATGGGAACGGGGTCACAGGGATGGGATCACGGGGATGGGAGCACGGGAGCATGGGGATGGAAGCCAGGGAATGGGAATGGGAGATGGGGAATGGGATCCAGGGAATGGGAATGGGAGACGTGGGGATGGGAACGGGGTCACGGGAGTGGGAGCATGGGAATGGGGATGGACAGGAATAGGGATGGCAATGGGATCTGTGGGAATCGCAATGGGGCTGGCAATGGGATGGGATCCACGGGAATGAGTCCACGGTAATGGGATCCGTGGGATGGGAATGGGGCAGCAGCCACAATCATGGAATGCTCCGGGTGGGATTCGTGGATTTCAGTCCCATCCCAATCCAACCCCGACCCCTCCCACCATCCCGGGGGCTTCCCTGAGAATTCCAGAGGCACCGGGAGGTCTGGAATTCCCCGATCCCAAATCCCCCTCATCTCCCGCTGGAATTGGCTCCACCCCTTCCATTCCCATGGATCCAACCAATTCCCACAGATCCACCCTTCCATTCCCAACAAATCCAACCCCTCCATTCCCACTGATCCAACCCCATTCCCATAAAATTCAACCCCATTCCCAACGGATCCAACCCCATTCCCATGGATCCAACCCCATTTGCATGGATCCATCCCCATTCCCATGGATCCAACCCAATTCTCAACAGCTCCAAGCCCTCCATTCCCAACAAAACCAATCCCTCCATTCCCAACAGATCCAACCCCATTCCCACGGATCCAACCCCTCCATTCCCATAGATCCAACCCCATTCCCAACAGCTCCAAGCCCTCCATTCCCAACAAAACCAATCCCTCCATTCCCAACAGATCCAACCCCATTGCCGTAAAATCCAACCTCATTCCCAATGATCCAACCCAATTCCCAACAAATCCAACCCCTCCATTCTCACAGATCCAAGCCCTCCATTCCCAACAAATCCAACCCCATTCCCACAGATCCAACCCCATTCCCACCAGATCCAAGCCCTCCATTCCCAACAAATCCCATCCCTCCATTCCAAACAGATCCAACCCCTCCATCCCCATGGATCCAACCAAATTCCCAACAAATCCGACCCCTCAGTTCCCACAGATCCATCCCTCCATTCCCAACAGATCCAAGCCCTCCATTCCCAATGGATCCAACCCCATTCCCATCACGGATCCAATCCCTCCATTCCCAATGGATCCATCCCCACTCCCAGGGATCCACCCCGGCATTCCCAATGGATCCATTGGATCCATCCCCGCTCCCAGGGATCCCTGCCGGCGTTCCCGGCGGGCGCGCACCCACGATGTTGGGGTGCCGCAGGTTGCGCAGGGTCTGGGCCTCGTGCCGGAGCCGGCTCTGGAAGAGCTGCCGCTGCCGCCGGGAGCAGCCGGAGCTGATTTTCTTCACGGCCCACGGAGAGCGGGGCAGCTCCCGCGGGGACCTGCCGGGGAAACTCGGGAATCGCCACGGAATTCCCGCCGGGAAAGGGGCCGCTCCCCCGCGGGACGGGAATGCTGCAAATTCCTCCGGGGAGTTCCCAGGGGAAGGGGAATTTCAGTCGGCTCCCATTGCCAGAGGGAGCCCAAATCTCTGGAATTCCGGCCGGGAGTGGGTTATCCCAAAATAATGGAGCCCAAAATCCCAGAATTCCAGCTGGGAATGGGTTATCCCAAAATAATGGAGCCCAAATCCCAGAATTCCAACCAAGGAAAGAGTTATCCCAAAAGAATGGAGCCCAAAATCCTGGAATTCCAGCTGGGAAAGGGTTATCCCAAAATAATGGAACTGAAATCCCTGGATTCCAGCTGGGAAAGGGTTATCCCAAAAGAATGGAGCCCGAATACCAGAATTCCAGCTGGGAATGGGGTATCCCAAAAGAAAGGAGCCCAAAATCCTGGAATTCCAGCCAGGAATGGGTTATCCCAAAATAATGGAGCCCAAATCCCAGAATTCCAACCAAGGAAAGAGTTATCCCAAAAGAATGGAGCCCGAATCCCGGAATTCCAGCTGGGAAAGGGTTATCCCAGAGTAATGGAGCCTAAAATCCTGGAATTCCAACCAAGGAAAGAGTTATCTCAAAATCATGGAGCTGAAATCCCGGAATTCCAGCCAGGACAGAGTTATCCCAAAATAATGGAGCTGAAATCCCGGAATTCCAGCCAAGGAAAGGGTTATCCCAATAATGGAGCCCAAATCCCAGAATTCCAGCCGGGAATTGGTTATCCCAAAATAATGGATCCCAAATCCCTGAATTCCCAGGAATGGAGCCCAAATCCCGGAATTCCAAGCAGGACAGGGTTATCCCAAAACACCGCCGTCCCTCCCAGCTCCACAAATCCCAAATCCCTCCCTCGGCTCCGTATCCACGCGGAGGAAAACCGGGATGGTCTCCGGGATTTCCCGGGATTCCCAAGGCCGCTCCCAACCTTTCCATCAGGTAGACGCTGACGCCGGTGCCGAATCCCAACTTCCGCATGAAGGGAGAGGCCGGGATGGTCACGGACTCGAGGCCGGGCTCTGCGGGGAGAATTCCCGGTGATCCCACGGGAAACCCGCTGGGATCGGATCTGCTGATCCCATGGACAATCCCACTGGGATCGGGATCTGCTGATCCCATGGGAAACCCGCTGGGATCGGATCTGCTGATCCCATGGATGATCCCACTGGGATTGGATCTGCTGATCCCACTGGGATCAGGATCTGCTATCCCACAGGAAATCCCACTGGAATTGGGATCTGCTGATCCCACTGGGATCAGGATCTGCTATCCCACAGGAAATCCCACTGGAATTGGGATCTGCTGATCCCACGGGAAACCCACTGGAATCGGGATCTGCTGATCCCATGGATGATCCCACTGGGATTGGGATCTGCTGATCCCACGGGAAACCCACTGGAATCGGGATCTGCTGATCCCATGGGAAATCCCGCCAGGATTGGGATGTGCTGATCCCACGGGAAACCCACTGGAATCGGGATCTGCTGATCCCATGGATGATCCCACTGGGATTGGATTTGCTGATCCCACGGGAAATCCCACTGGAATTGGGATCTGCTGATCCCACGGGAAATCCCACTGGGATCGGGATCTGCTGATCCCATGGACGATCCCACTGGGACCAGGGTCTGCTGATCCCACAGGAAATCCCACTGGAATTGGGATCTGCTGATCCCATGGACAATCCCAGATCTGTTCCTCGGGAATCACCGACGGGACGGGATGGAACAGCCTCGAGCTTCCAGGGGAAGTTCAGCTGGATTTTGGGAACAATTCCTGCCCGGAATTCCCAGCCCTGGAGTCCCCATTCCCAGACGTTAAATCCCATTCCTGGCAGGATTTAAATCCCGGGGGATTTCGGGGTCACGGATCCGGGGTGGCCTCGGCAGAGTCGGGAATGGTCAGAATTCCCAGCCCAAAATATTCCACGATTCCCACGGATGCTCCGATCCCATTCCGGAGTCAGATTTTTGGGAAAGCTCCTTCCAACCCCCCCAGTGCTTTCCCAGATTCCGGCTCCGTTCCCTGGGTTTGTTCCCGAAAAAACGGAGATCCCGCAGATCCAGCCCCGGCTCCAAAATTGGGGAATTCCGGGCAGCACAGGGAGCTGGGATGGGAAACGGGGATGGGAAATGGGAAACGGGGATGGAAAGTGGGAAACGGGGATGGGAATGGGAAACAGGGATGGAAAGTGGGGATGGGAAATGGGGATGGGAACAGAGCTGGAAAAATGGGGATGGGAAATGGGAATGGGAAATGGGAAACGGGGATGGGAATGGGAATGGGAAACGGGGATGGGAATGGGAAACAGGGATGGGAATGGGAAACGGGGATGGGAATGGGAATGGGAAATGGAAAACGGGGATGGGAATGGGAAACAGGGATGGGAATGGGAATGGGAAATGGGAAACGGGGATGGGAATGGGAAACAGGGATGGGAAATGGGGATGGGAAATAGGGATGGGAACAGAGTTGGAAAAACGGGGATGTGAAATGGGAATGGGGATGGGAAATGGGAAACAGGGATGGGAAATGGGAATGGGGATGGGAAGTGGGGATGGGAACAGGAATGGGAAATGGGAACGGGGATGAGAAATGGGAAACAGGGATGGAAAATGGGGACGGGAAATGGGGATAGGAAATGGGAATGGGAAATAGGGATGGGAAAGGGAAACAGGGATGGGAAATGGGGATGGGAAATAGGGATGGGAAAGGGAAACAGGGATGGGAAATGGGGATGGGAAATAGGGATGGGAAAGGGAAACAGGGATGGGAAATGGGGATGGGAAATAGGGATGGGAAAGGGAAACAGGGATGGGAAATGGCGATGAGAAATGGGGATGGGAACGGGGGTGGGAACTGGGAACGGGGATGGGAAATGGGAACGGGGATGGGAAATGGGAAACAGGAATGGGAATGGGGATGGAAAACCGATCCCAGCTGATCCCAGGGATTTCCCACCCAGATGTGCCCAGGGATAAAACTGGGGGGGGAGGAGGAGGGGGAGGGGGAGGCAGAGTTTTCCCGGGAATCTGCGGGATTGTCCCAGGAAAGGTCGAACGGGGCTTGGAGCAGCCTCTGGAATTCATCCCAGGGATCCCTCCAAGGCCTTTCCCGTCCCTGATCCCGGGTTTGGGATGAGGGCGTTCCCCTGGAACAGCCTCTGGGAACATCCCGAACCCTCTGGGAACATCCCGAACCCTTTAGGACCATTCCAATCCCTTTGGGATCATCCCAGTGATCCCTCTGGGACCATCCCCGTAATCCCTTTGGAAACATTCCAGGAAATCTCCATCCCTTTGGGAGTGTTCCCATCCTTTTGCAACCATCTCGATCCCTTTGGGACCACCCTGATCCCCTTGGGAACATCCCGATCCCTTTGGAATCGTTCTGGGGTCAAGCATCCCGATCCCTTTGAGAACATCCCGATCCCTTTGGGAACAATCTGGGATCAAACATCCTGATTCCTTTGGGACCATATTGATCCCTTTGGGACCACCCTGATCCCCTTGGGAACATCCCGATCCCTTTGGGAACAATCCGGGATCAAACATCCTGATTCCTTTGGGACCATATTGATCCCTTTGGGATCATTCCAGGATCAAACATTCTCATCCCTTTGGGACCATCCCAATCCCTCTGGGACCATCCTGGGAACATCCCGAACCCTCTGGGAACATCCCGAACCCTCTGGGAACATCCCGAACCCTTTGGGAACATCCCAGCAATCTCTGTGGGGCCATCCCCGTAATCCCTTTAGGACCATCCCAGGGATCCCTTTGGGAACATTCCCATCCCTCTGGGACCATCCCAGGGATCCTTTCAGGACCATCCCAATCCCTTTGGGACCATCCCCGTGATGCCTCTGGGGCCATCCCAATCCCTTTGAGAACATTCCCACCCCTTTGGGACCATCCTGATCCCTCTGGGACCATCCCAATCCCTTTGGGACCATCCCCGTGATCCCTCTGGGGCCATCCCAATCCCTTTGGGAACATTCCCACCCCTTTGGGACCATCCCAGTGATCCTTTTGGGGCCATCCAAATCCCTCTGGGACCATCCCAATCCCTTTGAGAATATTCCCACCCCTTTAGGACCATCCTGACCCCTCTGGGGCCATCCCAATCCCTTTGGGACCATCCCGACCCCTCTGGGGCCATCCCGTGATCCCTGTGGGGCCGTTCCCGCCCCCGTGGGGCCGCCCCGTGATCCCGTGGGATGGCTGCGGGGCCGTGCCCCGTCCCTCACCCTCTCTGTCCCTCATCCGGCGGGAGGAGGGCGGCGGGGACTGCAAGGTGTCCATGGAGCCGGTCCCGATCCCGATCCCGATCCCAATCCCGATCCCGGTCCCGATCCCGATCCCGATCCCAGTCCTGCGGGGCACTGGGGGATATCAGGGGACCCCGATGGCAACGGGGAACGGGGGTTTGGGGGAATTTTGGGATTGGGAATATCCTGGGTTTGGGAACTGGGGGAAACTTTGGGGATTGGGAATATCCTGGGTTTGGGAACTGGGGAAATCCTGGATTTGGGAACTGGTGAAATCCTGGATTTGGGGATGGGGAATATCCTGGATTTGGGAACTGGGTGAATTTTGGGAATTGGGAATATCCTGGATTTGGGAATTTGGAATATCCTGGATTTGGGAATTGCAGAAATCCCAGATTTGGGAATATCCTGGGTTTGGGAACTGGGAATATCCTGGATTTGGGAATTGCGGGAACTGGGGGGGATTTTGGGATTGGGAATATCCTGGATTTGGGAATTGAGGAAATTTTGGGAACTGGGGAAATCCCAGATTTGGGAACTGGGGGGAATTTTGGGAATTGGGAACATCCTGGGTTTGGGAATTGAGGGGACTGGATTTGGGGATTGGGGAAATCCTGGATTTGGGAATTGGGAATATCCTGGGTTTGGGAATTGAGGGGAATTCTGGGGATTGGGGAAATCCTGGATTTGGGAACTGGGGGGAATTCTGGGGATTGGGGAAATTTTAGGAATTGGGAATTGAGAGAGGTGGATTTGGGAATTGGGAATATCCTGGGTTTGGGAATTGCTGGGACTGGATTTGGGAACTGGGGAAATCCCAGATTTGGGAACTGGGGGGGATTTTGGGATTGGGAATATCCTGGGTTTGGGAATTGAGGGGAATTCTGGGGATTGGGGAAATTTTAGGAATTGGGAATTGAGAGAGGTGGATTTGGGAATTGGGGGAAAATTTGGGGATTGGGAATATCCTGGATTTGGGAATTGGGGAATTACAGAAATCCCAGATTTGGGAACGGGGGGAATTTTGGGAATTGGGAATATCCTGGATTTGGGAACTGGGGGGACTGGATTTGGGAATTGGGGAAATCCCGGATTTGGGAACTGGGGGGGGATTTTGGGATTGGGCAGAGCTGGATTTGGGAACTGGGAGAAATTTTGGGAATTGGGGAAATTTTAGGAATTGAGAATTGAGGGAGGCAGATTTGGGAATTGGGGGAAATTTTGGGGATTGGGGAAATCCTGGATTTGGTTTTGGGATGGATTTGGGGTTTCCTTTGGGTTGGATTTGGGGTTTCCCCATATGGGGTTTCCCTTTGGGATTGATTTGGGGTTTCCCTTTGGGATGGATTTGGGGTTTCCTTTGGGTTGGATTTGGGGTTTCCCCATATGGGGTTTCCCTTTGGGATTGATTTGGGGTTTCCCTTTGGGATGGATTTGGGGTTTCCTTTGGGTTGGATTTGGGGTTTCCCCATATGGGGTTTCCCTTTGGGATTGATTTGGGGTTTCCCTTTGGGATGGATTTGGGGTTTCCTTTGGGTTGGATTTGGGGTTTCCCCATATGGGGTTTCCCTTTGGGATTGATTTGGGGTTTCCCTTTGGGATGGGTTTGGGGTTTCCCTTGGGGCGGATTTGGGGTTTCCCTGTTTGGGATGGATTTGGGGTTTTCACTTTGGGATGGATTTGGGGTCAGTCCCTCTGTGGGGCGGGTTTGGGGTCCGTCAGTCCCTTGGGGTCCGTCTGTCCCCCCGTGTCCGTCAGTCCCTCCATGGGTCAGTCTATCCCTCTGTGGGTCAGTCTGTCCCCCCGTGTCCATCAGTCCCCCTGCGTCCGTCAGTCCCTCCGTGTCCGTCTGTCCCTCCATGGGTCTGTCTGTCCCTGCATGTCCATCTGTCTCTCTGTGGGGTCCGTCAGTCCCTCCTTGGGTCTGTCTGTCCCTCTGTGTGTCCGTCTGTCTCCCTGTGTCCATCAGTCCCCCTGCGTCCGTCAGTCCCTCTATGGGGTCCGTCTGTCCCTCCGTGTGTCCGTCAGTCCCCCCGTGTCTGTCAGTCCCCGCCTGTCTGTCTGTCCCTCTGTGGGTCAGTCTGTCCCCGCGTGTCTGTCAGTCCATCCCCCCGTGTCCATCTGTCACTCCGTGCCTGCGTGTCCGTCAGTCAGTCCGTGCCCCCGTGTCCGTCAGTCCCGCGTGTCCGTCGGCCCGTGTGTCGCGGCGTGTCCGTCAGTCCGTCCGGCAGCGCAGGCCGGCGTCCTCGGCGTGCCCGCAGTTGCTGCGGCCCCAGCCCGAGAAGGGGCAGAGCTCCAGCGCCGCCTCGGTGCCCGCGCACGACACGTCGTCCATCCAGATCTGCCCCGAGCCTGCGGACACACGGACACGCCGCGCGCGTGGGGACACACGGACACACCGCGGGCGTGGGGACACACGGACACCACCAGTACGGACACACGGACACACCGCGGGTACGGACACACGGACACACCGTGCATGGGGACACACGGACGCACGTGGGGACAGACCGACACACGGACACACCGCGGGCGTGGACACACGGACACACCGCAGGCGTGGGGACACACGGACACCGCGGGTATGGACACATGGACACACCGCGGGCGTGGGGACACACGGACGCACGTGGGGACAGACCGACACACGGACACACCGCGGGCGTGGACACACGGACACACCGCGGGTACGGACACACGGACACACCGCGGGCACGGACACACGGACACACCGCGGGTCCGGACACACGGACACCGCGGGTTCCAGGATCCCACAGGGACAGAATTCCAGGGATGGAATTCCAGGGGTCCCACAGGGTTGGAATTCCAGGGATCCCCCAGGAACGGAGCTCCGGGGATCCCCAGGGACGGAATTCCGGGGATCCCACACGGCTCGAATTCCGGGGATCCCCCAGGGACAGAACTCTGGGGATACCCCAAGGATGGAATTCCGGGGATGCTCCAAAGACAGAACTTCAAGGATCCCTCAAGGACGGAATTCCAGGGATCCCACAGGGCTGGAATTCCAGGGATCCCTCAAGAATGGAATTCTGGGGATCCCCCGAGGATGGAACTCCGGGGATCCCTCAAGGACAGAATTCCATGGATCCCACACAGCCAGAATTCCATGGATCCCACACAGCCAGAATTCCTGGGAGATCCTGCACAGCCGGAATTCTGGGGATCTCCCAAGGACAGAACTCTGGGAATCCCACAAGGACAAAATTCCAGGGATCCCAAACAGCCAGAATTCCGTGGATCCCACTGGGCCGGTATTCCGTGGATCCCACAGGGCTGGAATTCCTGGGATCCCTATCCCAGGGATAGGAATCCCTTGGATCCCGCATGGCCAAAATTTCTGGAATCCCACACGGCCGGGGGATCCAGAATATCCACAGAATATCCATGGAATATCCACGGAATATCCACGGAATATCCACGGATCCATCAGGCCCTGGAGACCCAGGAG